TGTCCCCCCGTTGGCAGCGTTTACAAGCAGGGGATCGGTGTTACGTTATGCAACGACAAGCACCGGGAATCGATTTCTCGGATCGAACTGTCGGGCTTATCTCTCCGAACGTCTTGACGGGCCCAGTCCCCTCCCCTTCCCTCCCCCCCCCAGCCCTGGTTGCCTGCCTACGGGGACCGACAACTTTTTCTCGCTTTATGGCGGCCCTCTTATTGCTCGCGCTACGCCGCCACCGCGTCGTTGGCCCCATCGAGGAAGATTCGTGGGACTGCGTATCGGTACGGTTTCGCATGAGTGTATCCCGTAAGGCCCCCTCCCCTCCCCCACCGCCGCTCCCCCTTGCTTCGCCACTGCCCTCCGCCAGTCGACGATGAAAATTTCATCGCACGCGAGAAGAGGAGCGGTAGCGAGACCGAACGGCATGCATACGTAATACACCTTCTTAGCTAATATAGGCCGGTTTCGTTTTGGGGCCACGGCTCCCCTCGCGACCTTCTTGCCGCCGATGTGTCTCGTTAAAGGTTTCTCCTTTCGATGAAACGAACGCCCGCTGTTTCTGCGCCCCGATCTATTCGTACACAACGTCGAATTATACGAGGATACGATTTTCGTCTGTATACAGGGTGTAACAAAAATGTTGAGGGCCCCGGAAATGGGAGACTCGTGATGTGATGCGTAACAAGTTTTTCCGTAGGAAAAATGTTGTCCGAGGCTTTGTTAACAAGATATTAACGAAAAACCTCGACCAATCGCAAGTCTACCGGCCGAGTTCCAGCGGTAACATTGGCTACCAATCACTACGCGACTCGTGCTCTGATTGGTTGAGGTTTTCCGTTAATATCTCGTTAACAAAGCCTCGGATAACATTTTTGCTAAGGAAAAACTTATTTCAAATCACCTCGCGTATCTTCCATTTCCAGGACCTCTAACGTTTTTCTTACACTCTGTGTATATCGATTTGGAATCGTTAATTTCCTCTGTCACGAGTAACCATTGCATCCGTTATTTGATAGACGTTTTTGGAACAGCTTGCGGGAAACGGGAAATCGAATCGATCAAGATTCCGTACAGTTTGTTGCATCCGAACACATCGCGGGGAACGTTACCGTTCCAGCGTTCCTCTCCGTTCGGCTATTAACCTCGATAGTCTGTGATTCCCTCGGTATCGGGGAAGAAGAGGACACACCTGAAGGGGGAGACCACTTTCGTTCGATACGCGACGGTTGTGTTTCGTTTCCCGGAAACCCGTGGCGTAAGTCGACGTTAACGTCGATCATTAATTCCCATCAACGTGGTCCACGGAACACGTCGATATACGCGCACACTTGGCTGGCTGACCGATACACTGCCACGGAGATTTTGCGCGCTCACAGACGAGGGCCCGCGCGCGTGCTCACCCGGTAACCTTGTGTGGTCCGCAGGAGAGAGATAAAGTGAAACCATGGGGCCACGCTGTCTCGCGATTCAACCTCGATCTCAGGGCCGTTCGCGTCGCGTGATTCTTTGCCGCTCCGATTTTCTTCTAGAAGACGATCTGCCTCCTCGACGACCGTAGCTGCCCTTACACCGATCCTTGCACTTTGTCACGTTTCGTTGTATTTTTCCATATCTTTTTTTCCTTTCTTTTTCCTTTTTGTTAGGCCACAGAGTTAGTTTTACGGTTGGACCACTCGATTCGTCATTGCTCACCTATATCGTTATTTGCCGTTATTCCCTGACGACGGAAGGTTCCAAATTGTTCGGTTTCGATTTTAACGTTGGGATTCAACGTTGTTTTATCTTTAGAATGATCGAGTGTCCACACCTAATCATTCACATGTGTCGTTAGGAGCCTGTACAGTATCATATTATTAAAACCCTGTTAAAATCGAAATCGGAGAGTTTGGATCCGAGTACAGTAATGTCTCGATGTGGACCGAGTTCGGGACAATAATCGAGAGAAGTCTGTAATATGTAAAATCCCTCAGTGCGTCCTATATGCACTCACCTGGAATGTTGTTTTATTAATCACTAGGGGACACGTGGGGTCGGTTGGTTAACGAACGGAGCAACGAACGCGTAACACACGGGTCGACAATCCTATCGACAAGATATCGATCGAGAACGCGCGATCCACGAGCAGCTGCGCGCACCGACAATAACTTTCTAACGATGTAAAACGGGTAATTATACATTGCTCGTGTCCTGTTTGGGAAGATGAGACACACGGGTGTTCTGTTTCTCGGAATATTTGTCCGCAAACACATGATTGTCGCGGCGAGCGAAGACCCGCGCAATCGATTCTAGTTTGTTCAGTCGCGATGCGTTAATTGCTCGGTAAATCGCTAGCAGAATCCTCATGGAGCTATACTACTTTCTCCGGTCTTCCCGTTTTCCTCGTGTATATCCTCCAGGCATTCTATCCGTGCGCGTTCATAAATTACAGTTAAGTAGAAATACGACTCGCGAAGACAACCACGAGAAATATTTAAGGGAATCGAAGGTAGAGGCCGTGGAAATCGACAGAAACTTTCAACCGACGACTTTTAGACGTCGCATGGTCTGCGTTTTCGCTTCGACTTTAATTTTTTTTTTATGAGTTTTCCCGTTAATGGCAATACATTAAATTAGATTTAATTTTCATTTATTACCATTAACACGAATACCATTTTTATACGAATGTTTAATATTATCATCGCATGACACTATGTATAGTAGATTTAAGTATACTTGTTCTTCTCGAGGTATCCGGTGGATGGAAGTTTTGACCTTATTAACACGTTGACTGCCACAGTGGAAAAGGCAGTACGTAACCAGACACGCTTTATTTCGTTTTTTTAAGTCATAAATCTTTGAAAATATATGCGTCTGATTAATAGAGATTGCTTGTCTTGTTTTAAATTATACTGTGATATTAATCTTATGTAAAAATTTTGTAGAGATATTTAAATAATCCAGCATGTTTGCAATGTTTCAACCACGAGTTATCTCGTAGCTGGCAATCAACGTATTAATTGATTCTGAGAAAAATTCAATTTGGTTATTAAATTTCTTGGTCACATTGAATATTCTGGCTATTGTATCGTTGTGACTGCACCTGGATGTGTAGGAAGTAGGGTAAAATAGATTGGAGTGCGTGGCTGCATCAGAGGGTACGTTGAAATTTCTTTCATTTAAGAGAATACTACAATCTACTAATATTGTAATTTTGTACAAGAAAGTAATATCAGCAAATACTTTGCGCTTCAATATTAATTTCCCTCGTTAAATTTCCGGAACGATCTCGTTCAGACTAGCCTGTCCAGTAACGTCCGCAAATGTTAAAGTCTGACTTTCAGTAAACAGACTCAATCAGGTCTGTTTTGCTCCAACTTTCATCCGAATCCACCTTGCAATTCATCCAAATCTCATGTCTCACGTTTCGATGTTAATTTCCCCCGTTAAATTTCCGGAACGATCTCGTTCAGGCTAGCTTGTCCAGAAATGTCCGCAAATTTTCAAGCCTGACTCTCATTAACGACACTCGATCGCTCCGTTTTTGCCCGAACTTTCGTTCGAATCCACCTTGCACCTTGTCTCGTGTCTCACACGGCGACGCTAATGATTTCTCTAAATTTCGAAAACGATCTATAATACCGAGTTTAAACCGTCCACGATCGATCCAGTTTCGCCGATCGTTGAACGCACGATAAGAAAATCGTCGAGTCTCGACGATCGAGCGTATATCGTGGCGGTCGGTTCGATCCTCAAGGTTGAATCTCGCCGAATCTCGTCGGATCTAGAGGCAGCCTCCATCGTGGCGGCATTCTTTGCTCGCTCGTCCATGCCGACCACGTTCTTTCTTTGGGAATCTTTACTCCAGAGAGAAAGAGAGAAAGAAAGAGAGAGGAGATTGCCGCCCGAAGCATCGTCTACCGTTACCACGTGTCTGTCTTGACGATATACACGCGACCGTGTAGGTACCCCACGTGCAAATACGATCGAAACCGCTGTTGCTTCCAGCAGGCTTTCCGTGGGCCCCTTGCGAGCCAGCATCCCTCTCTGCACGAGAACGACCCCCTTTCCGTCGTGTTTCCAAACCGCCTCCCACAGACGAGGGACGACACGAGCAAATTCGGCCGAATAAGTCTGTTCATTGAATTCCATTTCTACTTACTACCAACGACGAACACACGTGTGTCGGATGAATTTTCAAACTCGTTTTTCCCGAAAACCGAACTCCACCAACGTTATCTCGATCCACCGCCGCGGAGCACCGTCGCGATCGGTTGCGTGTGTCCAGTTTGTCCCGCGCGGATATCGAGAGCGAGAGCGAACCGTCTCGTACCTACGGTTCATTCGGCCGACGATCCAGGAAACTCGGTTACGCAACGCGAGATAGGACAATGACGTGTCCAGCGATCGAAGAAAGCCCGTGGAACAGAAAAAAGAAACAAAAAAAAAAACGAGTCGAATCGCACGTGTGCTGTTCGTAGGTTTTTACCAGCGTCCCTCCTCAACCTAACCCAATGTGTCCCTCGTCGACGATAGCAATTTCCCATCCCCCCCCCCTCCCACTTTCGCGGGCTACAGTTCTGCGTCCCGCGTCGTTGGTCCATTCAAGCAGACCAAGGCGTTCTCTCGTTATCGACTGTATCTCTCTCGGAGTGACCGCCGATGAAAGGTGTATCGGCCATATAACATAGGGGGCGGGGGAGGGGGAAGAACGATTTCTCGGACCCGTCTCGAGAAAAAGGATGCGCCGTGCAAGTCGCCACACGCACAAATCAAACGGAGTCTCGAGAGCTTGTGAGTCAAGCCGGCCCGCTTCTCGCGGATGTCTCGAACGTGGGAACGTGTGATTCGTGGCCTCGGTTCGGATAGGTCGCGCGACCTTTCTCGAATTAATCGTCGGACATCGGAAGTATATAACCCTTCCCCCTCCCCCCCGCCCCACACCCTCCATCGGCTCGGCTCACCGCGCTGTGAAGGAGCTCTCTCGGATTCAATACGAGTTTTGCTTGTTTTTTTCTTGCTTTCAGATGGTATCGAGAAGACCGGCGGCGGCGGCGGCGGCGGACCTGTATAGGTGGCTACTATTGGCCGGTCTTATCTGCTGTTCACCTTGTCAAAGCGTGTCGCCCACTTTCGATAATAAGGCTGGTAAGTTTACGGTATCGTCGCGGCTTTGTCGTCGGTATGTATCACCGGGGATTGTTTGGATGCTGCGCATGGTAATTGTTTTTTTTAGACAATACCGGTGATTGTCGTGTTTCCCGCGAAAATTTCTTTAGTTATTTATTCATCTACTAATTCACTCATTTACCCATTTACTCACTTATTCGTTTACTCATTTACTCAGTTACGAAGTTACTAATTTACTAATTTACTAATTTACTAATTTACTAATTTACTAATTTACTAATTTACTAATTTACTAATTTACTAATTTACTAATTTACTAATTTACTAATTTACTAATTTACTAATTTACTCAATGTCTAAACTGGCATAGTCCTTTCGTACAATAAGTTATATTAACAGGAATATGAAAAGCGAACTACGTGTAATAGTATGACAGAAATGGACTGAGTTAGGTTGACAGTATTGAAGGGTCGGTGAAAATATACATTAACAAGTAGATACGCTGTCTGTAAAATTGCTAGGGTAGCAGAATTATCAGAATGTTAGAACATAGTGTTTAATAATGTAAATAAACTGACAAAAAATTGCGAATGAAATGTTGCATTAACATTGATTCGTAATAATATTTATTTTTATGGGTTACATTGTAATAATATTTATACATATTAATTGGTTACACTGGTCGAGCTTGGAATCAAACGATAACAAACCTGCACGCGGTTCGCCGCGAGATATCTAGAATTCGTGATCGAGTTTGCGACCGACCTTGCGGATACATACATACATGGAACTGTCCTATGCAGTCGGAAACTGCGGGAAAACGTGTTCCGGTGCCACGAACGTGGAAACTGCAAGAGAGCAGACTCCGCGTGAATTCTATCCGGCGAAGTTTTTTTTCTTCTTTTTTCATAAAAATATATCTCTGTGCTTGAGAAATTTAGCGAGAATACGCAACTGTGTGTGTGTGTGTGTGTGTATTCGAACGCATATGTGTGTGTCTCGGGTCAGTAGGTCAGTCGTCGGCTCGGCGCTAAAAAAAAAAACACACACACTTGCGCGTGTGTCGATACACGTGCAACATAGGAAAACGCTCGTGTAACATCGTCTCGAGTGTTTCTGATTCCCGTGTCGGGTTTAGGCCTTGCGTATATTTACGTACATTCGTATCGATTGTTTTGTCGAATCGATTCTCGATTACGCGAGAATAATGAAAATTGTGAAACCAATAGAAATTTTCACTGTGGTAATCATTTTCGCATCTCTTCTGTTTAATCGATAAAATGTAATTATAATTTTGAAAGGTGTCAACTGAGTATTGATACATTCGTGAAGTATCATATCGTTTATATTCGACACCTATATGTTCGATACTATTCGATACGGTATCATAATTTATTTTTTTAACTCTTCCATAATTCTTTTCGCAATCGTAATCTCGAAAAGTAAAGACAACGACGGGACGGTGAGAAGTGTTTCGTCGACGTGACAACGAACGACCGAATGATCGCGAGAAATGCAGAAAATATTCGACGCGATAGTTGATAGACGCGTAACAATAAATCCGTGACGCGGAAAGAAGAAATACGTTCCCCTTCGTTCTTGACGACGGCACGAACTGCAAGCTCTTAAACCTTAATGAATCTTTGCTCTGGTCCTCGAGAAACGGAGGCACAAGCACCACCACTAGATCCCTCGAAACAGCCTCCGTCCGTCTTCTACTTCTACCTCGCAATCTTCCGATTTCGTGCACGCTGTGAATACCTGCCGAGAACGATCGTCACAGAACAGTCCTCTGCTGTGATTATCGCCGATATATCCGCCGTTTCTGGAATCGTTCGTTAGGTATAAACCAGAAAAAGACTTCGTAAAAATTGTACCCCACGTAAAGGTACACTGACGTGGAAACTTGGCTTCCGTTAGGGGAAAAAGTGGCGTATGGTCTTCTATCACTTGATTTCGGAAGTTTCTGAAATTTATGCCAAATTAATATTCGATTTAACATTTTATTTAATATAACATTAAATTTTATCACCGTCAGTTGCCACGCCTTAAAATCATGTACATCCTATTTAGTCATTTTTTTTTTTACTTTCAATAGTAGCGGAAATAATATTGGTGCTCTTGTTAAACTTAACACCCTGTATATACACACGATCCGTGGGTTTATGTCGCTGCCGCCGCGGCGCACGACACGTGTATTTATGCGACACGACTCGAGTCCTGGCGCCTGCAGAGGCCGTTTCGTCCCCATGGGACATTCGGAGACAACCGTGCGGTGAACCTCGCAGCCCACTGCGTATGTTCATACCTCCAGCGACATACCGATGAAACATTTATCCGTACGTGCTCGTAACAAGAAAACCGGAGGAAAGAAAAATGGCGAAACGAACACGCGTGGCGGGCTGCGAGGGGTTTTCCTGTACGAAACGAGAATATTATCTGTCTATGATAAATTAGGGGAGAATCGTGAGACCTGTGATAAAAGGGAACCGTATAATAAAACCGTGTGATACGATTAATCACCGCACCAGCGCGTCGTTATTCAAGGTACATAATAAAAAGATACATAAATAAAAAAATTAAAAGCAGTAATAGGGACGAAGCGGAAGCATTCAGCGTAGAAATCCTTCTGAACAGTTATCGAGAATTTACTATACATCACGATATTATATTCGTTTACGTTGGAGGTTTAAAAAAAAAAAAAAAACGACCTGATATCCCGGGATCTTTCTGTTCGCAGGACAAAACGAGAGCAAGCCCCGTGTATTCTCGCCCCGAATGGACTACGACGAGTGGACGCCACTGGGTCGTGGTGATCCTCTGAAGAACAATCCTACCTTCGATTACGTTCCTCCGGTTCTCGACAGGGTTCAATACTGGTTGGATTCACACACCACCGAGCCGTCCGCGAAGCGCGACATTCTCGTGTTGGGTGTCACCGCGAAGAAGACCAGCCCCAAGATACCGGAACAGTTCCTGAAGTTCGTCGACGGGCCGAAATTCACAAAGTCCAACCAAGATGTTCCTCACAGAAACGATTTCACCGGAAGTACCGGCGCGGAACCGCCTAAAATCGTGCGAACGACCAACTTCCGTAACGGTCCTATCGACTACAGGAACCAAAATAGAATACAATCTGTGCCAGCCAGCTATTATCCGTCTTCGTATTACGGGCACAAATCGAAACCGTACACGATGATGCTACCGCCTCCGTTGGTCCAAAAAGAGAAGATCGTCAGCTTCGTCGAGCCGACCCAACAGTTCAGCACGCAAACGGAGGAGGGACCGCTGCTGGGGGATTCACCGCAATTCTACGCGCTACCATCGAAGACCTACAACAATCAACACTCACCGACGAAATCGCAGCAGTCTCAAAACCCTTCGAAATCCCCCAGTAAGGCAGTTATAGTCGAGACGATAAAGAGCGTGCACGCAGCCTCGTCGGCGCAGACAACGAAATCACGATACGAAACTGTCACTGCCACGCCGTCTGTCTCCTTCGAGAAGTCCAATTTGATCTACCAATCGACCCAAACGCTTTCCGGCGGCTGGCCAGGTGGTAACGGTCCCCCGTCGACGCCGATCACGTCCGACACGAGTCAATCTGCATGGCAGTCGACCGATTATTCTCGTGATCTCTACGATATCGATCACCACGTAGCCGCAGCCTCCTCGAATCACGAGGTCGTGGTCGAGCAAAACGCGAATATAATCGTCGACGCGGGTGGTAATGGGAATGGTGAGGTGGTCGTGGGACAGAAGGAGGAGGCTGTTTCGTCGGAAGATGCGACGTCTTCGTCGATGGTAATGAACGTCACACGTAATTCTACCGATCCCATCAAGGGCAGCGATGAAGCGAACGTAGAAACGGAGTCGAGTCCATCTTCTGAAAAGATGCATATCGTTATGGCTAACTCGCCAGGTGGCTCTGACGGGGAGGCCCAGAACTCGAGAAAGGAGCCAGTTGCCTTGGTGATGCCGATGAATTATTCGGAGAAAAAGGTGAATCCTGCCTCTGAGAATACTCCAATGCCAGAAGCAACGTCCATTGTGCTGGAAAATGCTTCCACAATAGAGACAGAAGCGCCCGGAAGTCGACCCGAGTCACCGGTTCGATCCTCTGCGACTGGTTCGTCTGTTTCAACCGTTTCATCGGAGGACCATCAAGCCCCGCTGGTGCCAGCCATTTCACCGAATCGAATCACTCCCTCCCATCGTCAACCCGCCTATTCTCAAGCTGCCCCGATTGTTTCGATCCCACGGCAACCATCCACGGGATCAGTTCACTCGTTTGGATTCCCGCAAGCCCCCCTGCAATCGATGATGCATCCTCAATCAAGACCTAGTCACGCGATGATGCAGTTCCTCGGTAGCATGCGTCCAAACATGAGCTTCCGACCGGCAGGCTCGATGTCGATGATGTTCCCGCCGATGACTCACATGCACGCACCTCCTCCGCCTGTGAAACCATCCATGAATCACATGGGATCCTCAATGGGTATGGATCAGTCGCGTCTGCCACCGATGCAGGATTTCTCTATGATGTTCACTGACCCACCAGCGCCCTCTTCTCTAACTTCGCAGCCAATAGAATCGGAGGATCATGGTGCTCCAGATCGACATAGACACCGAATGCCCGAAACGACCACACCATTCGCCACGTCGATTATTTTCCCTGTAGCAGTTTCCTCGACAGAGCATCCGTCTTTCGTCTCTATCACAAATGATCCAAGCTCTATAGAAAATTCTCCTCTAGGGACGATACTCAGCGAGGAAAAGGCCACCGCATCGCCGCGTCCTCCGACAACGACCACCACCACCAGAATCACCACCGTTCAAAGTCTGACCACCGATCCGATCTTCTCTCATTACAAGCAACCCGCCAAACCCATACGCGGCCCGATGTACCTGATAATTCAAGGCCACTCGAAGGTCAAAACATACAAGCCGACCGTGACCAAACACGGGATGCCGATCGAGAAGAACGAAATCGTGACCGACAGGCAGCTCTCTAAGCTCGAGCAATTCATCAAGGAGAACACGAGGAACGGTAACTCGAGCACGGAAGCCGCGACGGCGATGATCGAGAAGAAGAAAACGGAGGATAAGGCGCGGGCCGAAAAGATCGCGCAAGCTCATCGGAACAGCTTGATGAGCCTGGTCGAGAACGGTTTGGGGAGCTTCACCGTGTCGCCGTCGCCCTACGCGACCGAGGAGGAACATCAGCCGAACTCCGTGACCACGATCGAGATCAATGGAAACTAGAATGATTCACGAACGGTAATTCCTCGAGGGATTAGTTTTCGCGTCGCCCGAAAGGTCATCGACTTTCCCACGGACCGTAGGGCGAGCGAGCTGGGGTTCTGGAACGTGGATCCTGGCGATTCGATAAGTGCACGCGTATTCGAGGACATATAGATGCTGAATAGCGACGCTAGCCAGGTGTCGCGAAACGCGTTCCAGATTTATCATAGAGTCAGAGCCACTTGGCGGTGGTCTATCCGCGAAATATTCGTTTATTATCATTATTACGATTCTTTTTTTTTTTTTTTTTTTATGTTTTTCTACGATATTTATTCTTCTTTTTATCGTGTAATTCCGCAGTCACTTTTGTAGAGGCTCAACGCGGCAGGTTTGCAGCGCACACTTTCCTGCCTCTTCGTCTTTCCTCGTCGTCGATGAGAGGAGGCGCGTTTATTTCTAAATGTGCCAATATATATGTATATATATTTATATATGTACACCACACTCGCAACACGCATATACACGCGTACAAGGAGAGAGATATTGCTCAACGAATTCTGACGCGCAGCTGCGAATTTGGCTCCAGTAGGTGGCGATCGGGGTTACGCACGATATACAGTAAATCATCGATGAGTGTTCGAAGGCTCCTGAGTGTTCTGGGCGCTTGACTGGGTCCACAGACACACCCCTTCAATGGTGGGGATGACGTCTGAAAACTCAGTGTTTAGGAGCCTTCGAACACTCATCGATGATTTACTGTGTGTCGAGTTTTTGATGGTAAATGCTGCGTGGGTGATCGTCGTCGAGAAAATCGATTTGTTATTTTTCGATTCGTGGCATTGATTCGTAGGACTGTAGACGAAATTTTTTACGATTCGTCGATCGACGACGGTGATCGATGATTCTTGGCCACCCGGCGGATATATACATATATTTATCGAGAAGCTGAACGTCAGGGACGATTGCTTTTGTATAGGATTGTATTTATCGTAGTAGGTAATAATTGTATACGATCGACGTATTTATCGTACTCGACGCGAGGAATTGTCCCGCGGAGTTGTACTCGCTTCTCGGCCCCTTCCCCCAGTATTCTACGCGGACTTCCTTATATAAAGTATCCTAAAAAAATACTAAAGTATTTCATTCTGTATAGGTGCAGAAACAACGTGATCGATATAGTTAACACGTTCTTCGTAATACAGTAAATCAACGATAAGTGTTGGAAGTGGGGTTACGTAAGAAAGATTAGAATTACAGGTTAGACTAATTAGTATTACGAAGAATGTATTAACTACATCTATCACGTTGCTTCTGTGCATGCGCAGAATGTGATACTCAAGTACAGTAAACCTTCGACTAATGCTCGAAAGTTAAACAAAAAAATAATAAATTTCAAGCCCAATTTCGATACCTCGCTTTTGTATTTTGTCAGTGGCCGACATAGATTACAAAGAAAGCATTTGACGTAGGTATAGTTCCGAGCATTTATCGAGAATTCACTGCGCATGCTTCTTGAGGATATTTTATATAAACGAAATTTGGAGAGTTGGCAGTCTAGTATGTAATATAGAAGTCTGTTACACAGACACGCGATCGATCGAATACACCGCCTTATATTTATATAAATCTTGTTCGACAAACGAAATCCTCGACACTGCGTACATCGTGTTGTTAACGCTAGTCTTTACGTTCATCGGTATCCTAGTGAACATTGGTGTCGATCTGTTTTTCTCCATAAAAATTGGTAGCCACACACGGGTGGAATGGTGGATTCGTGGCACGAAATCCCAACCACTGTCGTGTCTCTCTCGCGTTACGAATTATGATGGATGGATGTGTGTCTGTGTGTGTGTGTGTGTGTGTGTGTGTGTGCACTGCGTTGCGTATGATAATTGTACCTGACGGTCGCACGTTCTGTTGGATTTTCCGTTTGTCAATAAATTCTCGAAATTACAAAACACCAGGATCCACCGCTACTAAAAATCGAATATATTTCGTGGTGGGATTAAAGCTGCCGCGAATGGTATACATACACATATAATGCACTTGGACTCGATTTACCCGCCGCTAACGATCCTTGATTCACGCCTTCGACTTCTTACAAGCCCAAGCAGACGGTGGTAAGACCTACTTCTTGGTTCTGTTTTTTCCTCGAGTAACGCGTCGCTCAAGCGGTTTCAACGGCGTGTCAGCCTTTGTCGAAACACCAGGACGCATGAATTCGCACGAGAGAAATAAAGAGAAAGAGGAGTGGGTGGAGGGGAGGACGGCGTAAAAAAGAAAAAAAGAAACGATTAGGTTGCAAGGTTGAAGGGTGAAGGATGAAAAACGGTAAGGGGACCAAGAGGGAGCAGCAGACACAAAGTCAGAAAGAGGGAGAAAGAGAGGGGAAACGATCAGGATGAACCGAAAGTACGAATTTAAGGTTAATTTATGGCGTAATTTAGTTTCAATGTCGGTAGCATAAATCTCCCGTGGAGGGCAGGGGTCCAGGGGCCCCGCGACGTGCTTGCCGAGAGTAAAAAAGAAACGAAAAAGAAAAGTCAACGAAATAAAGTTACCGGCACGTAGAAGCCAAAACCGGCCGCGACTGCAGCACCGGTAATATCTTTTTCTCTTTCTCTCCCACATCCCCGAGGAACATCTCCCCTCTCTTTTTCTTCGTTTCCCTCTTAATGATTTGGTTTTGCTTACCTCGGATTCCCACCGCGACTGTCGGCCCGATTTAATTTCATTCGGATGATAACGGATGGTTAATGGATTTTTAACGATTTTCTTTCTACCGATCACGGACCACTAACCGATTTCTAAACGTTTCGCGGGGATCGGGATGGTTCACGATTTTTCGAAAAAGATTAGGGGGAGTGGGGAGGTAACGTCGAAACATCGTTTTTTATGGATTTCACACTCAGAGATTAAGCTGATTCCCACCCCACCCCCTTGTGTCGGAGGACACACTGGGTGACCGGTTCGCACCTACATCCTCGGTCCTACTTTTCTCACGTACGTAGGGGACGTGATTTTTGAAGTGAATCGATCAATACAATTAAGACGTTAATTGTTCGGGGGCAATTTACACGCTCGGAACGGTCCAATCGTCCGTTTCATTACGATCGAATCCAGATAGATCCCTCAATTTAAACAAAATATTATCATCCTTATGTATTGCGGTTAAAATTAAAACGAATCATATATATATATTCTCCTTATTATTTCTTTCGTATTTTAGCAAATAATTTGGTCAAATACGAGAAAGTGACAGCCATTCATGAACAAACTTGTGAGTCACCGTATGTAGAATACTAATTTAAACAGTTGTACGCTTCGGTCGGTTTCTGTAAGCTGGAAATGGTGCGTGAAGACTCCGAAATATTGGGTCGAAACGGACCCAGACACCGTCTTCCAAGATTTAAACACGTTACTCGACGAGAGATTGCAATCGTGTTCGGAGACGAAACGATTTCGAAGGCTCCGAGCCATCGTCGTACGTCGCTGTGTGTCTCTCTTTTCTCGCTATAATTTTCTCTGTCGCGCGCACGTTCACGGCGTGATCCTCTTCGCGGGTTGACGGTAAAAGGAAGACACGGAACGTGGGAAAAATTGCACGGTTCAACGGGTTGACACGAAGACAGAGAACCGCGTCGAAAAGGTCGCGTACCCTTCGACCTTAATGAAAGTTAAATGCGCGTGTGTGGATGGGTCCGCGACGAAGATGGCGGCGGCGGCATTATCATACCGTTAGGAGTTATAATACCGGTGGTGTATCGACGGTACGAAGATACAGGCGACGATGCAACGTCGAGAAGATCTCGCCGATTCGTTCTCGATGGAGATTTTTTCGATCGCGTTAACTCTAGTGTCTTTAATCGATCAAATTTAGTCGCCTTTTAATCAATAATAATTACTATATTAAAGGGACTTAAAGATATTTTATCGGAATCATCAAAAATGTCGAGTTCAAAGTCCCAAGTGGACACAAAGGTACTCGGTTATGAACACCTAGGGTTAAACGATTCGCGAACCTGTACGAAGGCTAAATCGAGAGGGACGTTATATTTATTTCTAGGGGAGCCGGGGAAAAAAGTTGTCCTGCCATTCCAGGCGAATACGAACGATCGCGCCGGTTGCATCCTGTTGCGGTTCGATCCATCATACGCACCCTTCCCATGGTTTTTGCCTATATTTTCACCGATAATGCCGTGTGGAAGTAATTCGTTGCATAATACGACTGTCAATGAGTCTAAGTAACTAGTATGGAAGTTTAGAAAAAATGTTAATGAAACCCAATATCGTCTCGGAAGCCGCAGTTTGCCCACAGTTGGAAATTATCCGAAAATGCCCCAGTATTTATTACAAGAAATGTATTTCTCCCCTATTTACAATAATTAATATAACTCGAAAATAAAGCCTCGAACGTAATTTTGTCATTCTTGATTTTCGTCTTACTTTAGCATCTAGAATCCACCTTGTGAAAGTGTCCCACTATTTTTGGTTAAGAAACTCTATATCGCTAGATGTTCGACGGTCGTTTATCGAAGTAGTCACGTTCACGCCGGGCGGGGTTCGTTTCGGCGACGATAGCGGCGCGAACGATCGAATCGTGAATCGAATTTCCCATAACGGCAGGCCACCAGGGAACCGCCTCGTCTTCGTGTGTACCACTAGGCAAACCGCTTCTTTTTCTTGATCCTACGTCCTCGTCCTCGTCCTCGTCGCGTCACGGTGCGAGTTCTAATCTGGAACGTGGTGCTCGTCTACGGGAAGCGCAGGCCTCATTGCACCGCTCGGGAAACTAGAAACACCAGTCGCGAAAACAAAAAAAAAACTAGCCCAATGTCTGTGTCCTCGTACCGTATCTCGCCTTAGTCGTCGTCTTGCTTCTGTTCCTTTCCTTTCCTTTTTCCGTTCCGTTCCGTTCCGTTCCTTTCCGGTGTACTCGGAACCCACGCCTCTGGCATCTGGTTCGGCCCATATTCCTCGTACATACGCGAAGGAAGTCGTGTAAAATGGTGCGGAAAACTGACGCGGATAATTGGGAGCCAAACTTTCAGATAAAGGCGAAATTAAATTTTGCACTTTTGATGGGTAACGCAGAAATTCATCTACAGTAGAAAGATGCAAAGATTGTTTTCCATTCGTACGAGAGGTGTTTCCAACAATTCCCAAGTTGTGCTCCGAGTGAATAAAGATTAAAGGACGTGAAAAGGAAGAAGAAGAGTTTACGTTTGAATCGATACCGTCTTCCGTTAGTGCTCGATCCTCAGAGTACTCATCCGGTTGGATTGAGATGCTTCATTTTGCAATAGTGGATAGCAGTATAGAAAGAAGGATGATTTTTTCAAGTATATTCGGTGGACATTTCCGTTCGTTTTCGAACAGTTGCATCCGGATATGTCGAGCGACGTTCTTAATTCGGTGGAATCGCGGTGGAAGTGCGACAGCCTGCGCGGAAGCAGCCGGGGGACTACCTTCGTCGGTGCAGTTGCTTAGATTGGTAGCGAAAGAACGAATACGTTCGATGCAAGCTAGACTCGAGCTCTCTCTCTTTCTTTCTCGTTTCCCCTTTTTTTCCATCTCGCGTGTCGTCAGAATGGTACGTGAGTTCCAGAAACACACTGACGACTGCTCGATTTCTCGTATCGATAGATGCGGCCTGTCTCCTCGCAGAAAGGCTTCGCCGGCATCCCTCGTCCGGCATGCCAAACGCTTCCCGTTGTCGCCAATTCGTTTCTCTTCGATTCACACGTTACGAGAATACTACGATCCAGTCTTACGAACGATTCAAACGGGAACTTTTATCGATCGACTTATGTTTGCCTATAGATACCAGTCGAAAACCCTTTCGTCGACGATCGAAAGTGACGACAGATCTTTCAGCCTACCCTATCTGTCTTAACCTCCAAAAACGTGGAACGATCGAACAAACGGGGTAGCAAAGACACGATGCAAGTTAAGGTTATTGTATAAATCAGTCGTGGATTTTCGTCGATGTTCGCCAATTGGAATGCGCGAGTCGCGTAGAGTCAAAGAATCGCGATATACGTCGTATGGGTCACGAAACGAGAATACGTGATGGCACGCGACGGCCCCTTTCCAATCCTTTTCACGTTTCTCTCGATACCCCCGCGCTGTCGCGTCGTGTCATCATCGTCTCCGTGGAAAAACGGAATACGAAATTCGTCGGTTTGGATAGAAGTATTCGTTATTCTTCCAGTGTTTCAGTTCGTTTCGCCGTTCCGGGACCCAAGAGTATCACGATGCAATTCACATCCGTTTAGAACGGGTGAAAGTGGAATGCAAATCACATCCCGTTCAGTGGGAACCGAAATTCGGAACCGTCTTCATGTACTTACATACGCGATCGGTCGCACGGGTAGGGAAGGGTATCCGATTTACGTGTACTCGCAAACGTTACTGGTTGCGAGAAGAAAGTTTAGCCGCTGATTTGGACGACGATGAAAGCGCCACTTCGATTTCCGGCTCGTCAATACCACGTCAAGTTTTGCGTACAATCGGTCGAGATTAGAAAGTAATTAAACACAACGATAAAGGATTACGTTTCAAAACTCTTGCGCATGCTCCTGGGATTCTGTGACCCCACGTTCTCATCACACGGGGTCTCTGGCGCCTCCACTGGGGGTTCTATGACCCCACGCTCTCTGTACACGGGGTCTCTGGCGCCACCTGCGGGGGTTCTGTGACCCCACGGCTCACCACAAAGGAACTCGGGCGCCTCCACTGGGGGCTCTATGACCCCACGCTCTCTCCACACGAGGTCCCTGGCGCCACCTGCGGGGGCTCTACGACGCCATGCTCTCTCCACGGGGTCTAAGGCGCCACCAGCGGGGGTTCTGTGACCCCACGGTTTCACCACGCGGGATCACTGGCGCCACCACTGGGGGTTCTGTGACCCCACGCTCTCTCTACACGGGGTCCCTGGCGCCTCCACTGGGGTTCTATGACCCCACGCTCTCACACACGAGGTCTCTTACGCTTGATCCACCGGTGGTTAAGGATTCTACTAACCACTCGTGTTTAAGCATAGCCGGTGGTTAGCGGAAGGTCGGTGGTTAACCTCGTTAACCACCGGCCTTCCAATAAATCTCGTTAACCACCGGCCTTTCAGTAAATCTCGTTAACCACCGGCCTTCCAATAAATCTCGTTAACCTAACCGGTGGTTAACGAGATTTACTGGAAGGCCGGTGGTTAACGAGATTTATTGGAAGGCCGGTGGTTTACGAGATTTACTGGAAGGCCGGTGGTTAGTGGAAATCCGGTCGTTAAAGGTACTTAAGACAATTGTCAAATTTATTCAAATACTATTGTAAAGTGTATTTTCTTGAGATTTTTTGAATAAAAAAAATTCATTGGTGCATGTGTGTTGTTTATTAAGCCTGCACCTTACTATCTCATATTTTCCACAAATAAATGTGGGAGCGTTGGAAAAACGAGAGGGTCCAAGCGGGATTCGAACTCACGACCCCCGGCACCGAAAGCAGAGACTCTACCCACTGCTCCACGGAACCTTCGTTGGGTATGGAGTTCCTGATCGTATATAAATATATAGTAATTGGTAAACTCAATGGAATGGTATTTCTACTACCGTTCATGATTAGAATCCACATACATCGTGACCGTGTTCAGGAAGGAGAGAAACGGAAATGCAGGATACACTTTTTGATTCATGAAATTACCACATTATTTATTACCACAGTTATTACATACGTAACGATGGTAATGGTCGGTAAACTTATATATAAAAGATCATGATTAATCGATTGGAATACATATTACGAAACGTAAACTATACACATATATTTATATCACAGTCGTAGAGAAACCAAAAGTATGTTAAAGTTAATCGATATCGAAGTTGCTTCGAGTACGCTTAAGTCTCTAAAAAATCCAGCAGGAAGCTTCGTCGACCTCGAGCGTACGATCGACGCATACATATAATATAATATTCTCTATTTTAATATTTTAGAGACTCGTGTATGCCCCCTTCCCCTGTGAACCATGAAACCTACAGGTCACAATACAACATACACGAGACCCCTGTAGTCGAAATGATCGAGTACTTATAAACTCGGCATCGAAGAATCGTCTGTCGAGTAACGAAGAAACGCTTCAACGACATCGTCATCGTTACGATAGCTACGCGAAAATCGTTTAAAGTATGGAAGATCAGGAAATTTTTCACGCACAATTATTAAACAGCGCCTCCTGCTCCCATCCAACTCAAGCGGGAACAGTACACGGTAAAGTGCAACGTGGAGCTATTTTCGAAATACCGTCGCCTACGGTCGATCTTTCCGAGAGAGTACATGGTCTCGAGGGGAAAGTAAAATTCAAACAGATATCTTCCGAAAACTTTCTACTCGCGAAGTATTATATCTAAGCTGGCTAAATTGTGATTTAGTTACAATCGTTACAGCGACCGATCGAACGATCGTCAATGATCCGCAGAAAGTTGTCGTTTCCAGCGAGTGCTTCGACACTCTTGCTACACGATGAATCGAAGCGGCTGAATAAATGGAATTTTCCAAACTAACGATAAATAACTCACGGAATTATACTTCCGATCGAATCTGGAATTCGTAACGAAGATCGGACGACACGTCTGCTGTTTATTTTCAGGCGGTTACAGTCATTTCCACGACGCTCTCGCGATCCAACTATTCGTGATACGCTACCGTTTCGCCACTAGTTACGGCCAGTTAGCTTCGTGATTGCGTGCGGTAGCTCGTCGAGCGCATTCACCGATGCACATGTAACGTCGAGATTTTCGAAGGAGTCTGTTGCACGTTGTCTCCTCGATCGCTCTTACGAAATCTGTCATCGCGAACAAAACCTTACCAACGCGATTTCGAAGTGTTTCGGGACAGTCCCGCGGATTTCCAGATGTATTTTCCCTTTTTAAAATACGCTGGAATCACATTTATGACTCGGTTCTTTCGTTATGGCACAGACGAGGTACAGGAGTAGACATTTCATCGAATGTATTTTTTCGGCCTACTTTTCTAGGGCTATACAACCCCATTTCCATTTTAGTGTCACTACCACCGCAGATTCACCGTTCTCATAACGTAGGGATCGCTGAAATCACACGCTTAAGGTGTCGGTAATACAGTTTAGGTGGGCCACCAGCTCCTATAAAATGAAACGTCTACTCCTATACCTCGTCTGTGGTCGTGGCTATAATTCCTCGGGCTAGAACCGCGCGATCGGTTCGTCGTACCGATCCGTTTTCGGAACGGCGATCATCAGTCTTTCTGGATGAAACGATCGGTTAGATTCTCGTGCTTCCTCGAGTCCGTTAATTATTCTACGCTGGTATTTAAAAAAAAGAAAGAAAGAAGAAACGATGGAAATTTAGCTAAAACGAACGGTCTAATGATCCGTGAGCAGCCCTGATAACCAGTTGCGTACAAGTTTCGAGCAAATCGCCAACAATAAATGACAAAAGTTGTCTAAAAGTTTTGCAGGCAACTGGTAAGCAGACTGGTAAAGCAAATTGGCAGAAAGTCTTGCAACATGACCGATGTCAAACTGAGCGCAAAACGGGAACAAGATTTGCGCCAGCCAATTTACCGAATCCCAGATAATGTGGTATCTGGGTGTTGCCAATTTGCTGCCTATGTTGCTGCTAATATACGCGCAAGTTGCTTGTAGCAAATCTTGCATCAAACTTGTAGCCATAACGTTATAACAGGCATTGGACACAATTTCGCTTTGCACGTTTGGCTGACTGGGCAGAATGGAGGGAAAAGGGACGAGGGTACACGGGACATTATGAATCCGACCGCTCGTCAAGCTTTTTTTTTTCTCAGAAATTCACCTCCAACGAATTCTCTAGCTCGTTCAGGGCCGGGACCAGGGTCTGAAGCGAGAAATACCGTGTTCGATCGGCAGCGTCCACGCTGGTCACGTGTTGAAACTGACACGGTTGGCTGATGTTGCTCTTCGCCGGTAGAACAACCTTCTTCGGCGTTGGTTTCTTCTTCTTTTTCCCTGGCACCGAGAGGCTGATGTTCTCTGGACAGGAGACCAGCCGTTCTATGTGTTGCCACAGCTCGTTCGCCGCTTTTGGATTGTCGAAACTGAGACCCGCGAGACGCGTGTGATCCGATGATAAACACATCGTGTGGAAAGCTGGGCCCGATACCTGAAAATCATTCAATCGTGTTGGAATTCACAACGAACCGACACGTGTTCACGTGTATACATATGTCACAGTAAAAACGTGAAGTTTAGTAAATGTTTATACCTATATTAGTCATTGAATCGTGATACAAAGGTCACTCGTCGACGGAACAAATGAAACTGTCATTCCCTTTGGGTTCGACCGTGACAAAAGTATTAAACTGAAACTACGATGTGACTGAAGAAGCATAACGCCTCTTTTACCTTGTACGATGACAGATTGTCGATGGTCTCCCGCCAAAGAGTGAAGCAAGTGCCACGCTCCGCCAGCAGAATTTGGATCCGTCTCTTGGATCTCGATCGCGTCTCACCGAGATCCAGAACAACCACTGGTATCCCGGTGAATCGGAGCTCCCATCGCTCAGTCTGGGATGCGTTTCCCAGATAAAGGTTCGCCAGCGACTCGCAGACGAATACCTGTGTTCACGGAGGAATTCCTATAATATTTCCCCTTTGTCCGACGATGAATCACTGGCAAGGCACTCTGTGACGGTCACAGTGGAAGGTGTGTGAAAAGGGAAAGGGAGCCTTTTGGTCGTGGGTCTGCTAGTGGACTCTGTCGATAAGGTTGTCCATCAGTAGACTCATTCTACCTACTAGAAGTAGGCACAGGAAGCAAGAAAATCGCCTTTATACATTAAGATACGTTTTTTTAAGAATAATTCCTCCGAAGGTCATTTGAAGGTTAACATATTATACATAATTGAATTTTTCATTTCATTAGCTATAACGTTACACAAATTAAATTATTCCTTTGGGAAATATTTCCTTAACAGATTTTCTCGTAACCTTAAAAACAACGAGAGATACTTCAGGGGAAACTCTTAGGTGACTCGATCTGTGTAAAGTGACGATGAATCGAATAGCGAAGGGTGACGTCACAGCACGGAAAAAGGATTCATGGTTTACCTGGGACTTCAAGCTCCGAAAGAAGGTCTCGAGCTGTTCCCGCTCCACCTGGCTGACAGGCTCGAGACGAGACTCGTCGCTGTTCTCGGAGCTGTCGCTGCCCTCGTAGCTCGACGTGGCGGATGTGTCCGGTTCGCCGGTCGAGGACAAACGTCTCCTTGCGGCGCCGCTGTACTCGCTGTAGTACGAGGAACTGTGCAAAGAGAGATTCGACTGCAACGCCGGGCAGGACGACGCGTACACCGGTGCGTTCATTTTTCCCTGAAATCGAGGAGAATATGTTAAGTGGAATTTATCACGGGACATTAGTTTTTTTTTTCAAAGTCATTTCGTTATTTTTTTTTCAAAATCCTATATCCTTGAAAATGTATGCGTACGGTTAATAGAGGCTGTTGGTCGTGGTTCAAATTATATTGCAATATTAAATATTACGTAAAAATTTTGTAACTCTGGAAAGGGAAGGAACAAAATCCAATTTCTTTCTTATAGGGTGGGACAAAAACCACTTTTTCTCTAGCTGTGATGGTTCATCTGAATTCAGGAAGATCGTTCGGTTATCAGGAATAGTAAAAAAGCGTAACGGTGTGCTCCTTGCACGAGCTGGAACCAGAGACCTGATCGATTTTTCGCGACCGAACACACCCGTCCGTCCCACCGTGTGCAGCTACGGTGGTGCTATCGTTCTATAAATAACCGTGACCCGTTTATCGGGCACGTTGAAATTCATGAAAAACCCCGTAACCGACACCTGAACAGAATCGAAAGATTATTTGGGTGTATTTGCACGATGTGTTTGTTCTGGTTCTAGAATAATGTCTCGATGAGTGCGACGTACTCGGGTCCACATCGGAGCATTCATGGCAAGACGATCAAGTTTTTCAGCTCCTCGTAAGTTTGTTTTTTCGTACTAAGCCGAGAATCTGCTTAGCTTCTGTTTACTCTGTTTTGATTGGTTCCATAGGAGGACTACCCCAGTGGTGGGAATAACGCCGTTGCTCGTGTCGCATTCATCGAGGAATCACTGTATCGGTGTTTCCTTGTTTGCTACCTCAACGAACTTTATAGATCAAGTAAAGAAGGGTGTATACAGGAAATCTTCGATGAGTGTTCGAAGGCTCCTCGGCACTGAACAATTAAATATTTCACAAACTAATCGCTATATGTGGCTGAAACAAATGTCATTTGCTTCGGAATTTCAAGCTCTACCATTGTAATGAAACTCATAAAAAATTAGCATTACACCTGGAAATCTCTATATATTTTAGGTCGAAGAGCCTTCGAACACTCATCAAGGATTTACTGTATATACACGGTGCATTGCCATCGAGACACAGAGGACACAGTATGTAAGTACGCTATGGTCGTACGTTAATCGAGCAATCGATGGTTCCCGTCGACCCACTTAATCGAGGCGAGAAAATCTCTCGTTCTCCCCCGTTTACGACCTTAATTCAATCATGGTAACAAAGGCCCTTAACGAATCGGTCGATTAGTCACGATCCGTAGGTTGGCATGTTATGTCTCTTCTTCTCCGCTAGAGCTCATCCTAACCCTTTCACGCCTAGTCTCGAACACGTATACAGGGTGTAACAAAAATCTTCGAAGACCCGGAAATGGTAGACTCGTGAGATGATTTCAAACAAGTTATTCCTTAGCAAAAATGTTGTCCGAGGCTCTGTTAACGAGATATTAACGAAAAACCCCGACCAATCAGAGCGCGGGTCTGCCGGCTGAGTGCTCGCGGTATCGTTAGCTAGGCGCTGTGATTGGTAGTCGACGTTACCGCGGGAACTCGGCCGGCAGACTCGCGCTCCGATTGGTCGGAGTTTCTTCTTAATATCTCGTTAACCAAGCCTCGGAGAACATTTCTGCTAAGGAAAAAGTTGTTTCAAATCATCCCAGGAACCCCTCATTTGAAGGAGTCGAATGGGACACCCTGTATAATATCGTAACGATCCCATGTTCACCGACGCGTCCTGAAGCGTGACGACCAATGACCCTTCTCACGACACGTTGTCTCCTATTCAGAGAATTTTATTCTTTTGGGAACCAAGACGAAACCAGCATCAAAGGGGTATGTGTGTGTGCCAAAGAGTGTCGTTAGAGGATCGAATATGTGACCGAAAGATGCCCGCATGGCGACACGTTATCGCTTCGGTGTTTTCAGTTACAATATAACCGCTCGAGAAGCGACACGACGAAAAGGTTCGTGCCCGCGAAACCTACACCGGAAATGCTATTGTCTGTGCGTGGCGACGAGCAGCTCGCCTCGAGGATGCGCCCATTGTTTCGCCGAAGATAAGAGAGATAGATCGACGAGCTCGATAATTAGGTTCGCGTTCCCACGACCGAGTTGTTCATCGGTGGGTACGGAATTATACTTCGTTTGCGTGCCTTTTTCTATTCTTTCAGGCCGAACGACGCGCTGAGACAGTTTTCGTTCGCGGTTGCGGAAGAACCGCGGGAAACTCGATTGTTGTCTCCGAATGGAAAACGGATCGTCTTGGATCGCTTAGCGTCACGTTTTCACGACTATAGGTCGCGTTCACGTGTGGAGTTTTCTTCTAATAAATCCCTATAAGATCATTAGACCAGAGTTTCGGGACAATAATCGCGACGAGTCTGTACTTTCGACTAACCCATATTTAGACCTATTCCTCTGCACTATAATCGAATCATTTAAAAACGTTCCGTTTTTCACGAATGAAGGGACATTCATTGGTCCCGTTCGATTCGGTAGACGTCGATTAGAGATCGTCGTTCTTGACTAGATTGGCTGACATACCGCCGCCGCGCTAGCTCGAGTAAAAGTGAAGAGACGCGTAACGTAATTATGACGGAAACGCGAACGACCGTAACGAGGTATGGCGTCATGCTCATCAACGATGCTGGCAGAGCATCGGGGGAGATCAAGCGGGTGACCGTGTTGTCACCAGCTGTCAACGATCGCCGACGAAGAATTGCATTTTTATTTTCAATTCTCCCCTCCTAGCTGCTGGTGACTCGTAGGAGCTTGGCTAGTCAGATCTGACCTAGATGAAATTCTTTGACCGAAGAACAGATCATTCTCGGTGCCGTACGTTGGTGTAACTTTGACTAAGCCTGGGGACAGAGTCAGGAAAAAATCTTCTTCGAATAATACACAGGGTGTTAATTTTAATTCGAGTACCTAAATTATTTCTGCTACTATTGAAAGTAAGGAAAAATTACCATATAGGATGTACATGGTTTTAAGGCGTGCATTTGTTAACGATAAAAAAATCCTGTGAAGGTCATTTTAACGAGTTTTTTTCAAGGTCATCGTATTTTTTTATAACGCGATGTGGCAGTCAGCATCAAGATCAGTTCAACGACACACCATGACCTTGAAGGCGAAGTAATCAGCTTCAGTTTGAAAAATGCTGAAGTAAATAAACGTAATGAGAAGTGAAAAATTTTCCCCTTAAAAGCAACCTAATTTAACAGTTTTCAGAGCCGCAAAATCGAGAATGATCGTTTTCCGAGTTAAGACAAAGTTATCCTGACCGAATTAAAGGTACCGCAACTGACATTAGGATTAAAGGACCAATGAACATTTTCTCTCTCTAGCTCCATAAATGGCGGTTCAAGATTTCTTAAACTCGTTCGACGACGATGAAACGCTTCCGCCGGAAGGGCACAGCAAAAATCGGTCCTGCTACGCACTGGCGAAACCGACAAAAGAAATTATCGCGGAATCATGAAGGATGTCCCGCGGGGACTTTGATTCGCGCGTCGAGTCGTTCTCGAGCTGCGCACGCGAAGAAGATACGAACACGGTTATCTGGTGTATACCGTTGGAACGCACGCGCTCGCGATATCAATTTAGAGCTGATGATTTGTTTCCGCCTACGTCGGCCTCTTAGTCATCATCGAGTCCCCTACGTCGAACATCAGCCGGACGATCAGACGTCTTCGAAATTCGACCCTACCGAGGAGTCATCGCCACAGTGGTGAAAAATACAAATACAGAGAGTTGGGCACAATTTTATTCGAATAATTCACAGTGAACAACTGCAGTATTTAAGGGCATCATTCTCAGTTTTAAATAGTTTATAATATTAAATAATTGTTTGCCAAATGTCGACTCATTCATGAAGTATTATTTTATTATAAAAATTAGAATTTCTATGCTTAAACTATTAAAAATGACGAAGTACTTTTTTTATCTTTTATTAGAGACACTTTATCTAGATAATCAATGTGCCCATCTCTGATACAATGGACTCTAACTATATTGCCACGGCACTTCCTCTTCACTCAAAAAAACGAAAGAATATCATGATTCGATGCTCGTCCCACGTTCAAAGAGCGCACCGCGAACCAACGAGGACAAGGAATTCACAGGGGCATCTAACACGCGTTGGGCATTCGCAAATTACTTCACGTGAGATGCGCAATACCGGCTCGATTCAATTTCCCACGTCACGCGTTTGGATCTTACTCACGCGGTTAGTCATCGTAATCGACGTATTCCGATTGCGATCCATTCAAGTTTCCCACCGTCAGCAGCCTCTTCGTTTGTGAGTCGGATCGGAGCGAAGCGTCTCAATGAACGTGATAATTTTTCTTCCAATAAAATCCGTTTGTCCTTCTGTCTGGAAAACTTCTGCGGTCCAATTGCGTGTGATTTTCTACTGATCAGTAGAATAATAATTCATACTTTATCAAAATATTCGCGGTTATTAAGCAATCTTTATACCCCTATTTTGACAGATTAGATAAACATAGATAATTTTACTTTCATACTTTTCCGAAACTCTTAGTTTTCCCTTCCTATAATACACCAACTGCTATTTTAGACAAGACCATAAAGAATTGTTATTAATTTTAATATCTTTTAACTAACAAATTAATTAGTTTAACGATTCACGTGGTTTCAGTAACGCGACGACAGAACCAAGCCTTGCGCGGAACAAAGTTACACTGCGAAAGGTAATGCTGGCTATGTAGTCGTCGAGACGATAACACACCGGCGAGCAAGAAATTACGTAAGACGAACGAGAAACGAGGCGTTTGTTCGCGGCGATTTGCGAACACGAACGAGGAAAATTATATCTGCTTAGAGCGCGTCGGATGATTCGTTCTTGGAAAATTTTTCGCGGCTACGCGTTACCTAACAAGTTTTTTTCCGCGTGGTTCCGTGCGGAGCGACGCGGAGGAAGGAGCCGATCGACGTGGCGCGATTACGCTTCGAATCTTACGAAGCGTTTTTCGAAAAAACATCTATGCAAACAATCGTGTGGTTGTTTTTCTAAATTGTAGTACGGCGGAAGACGCCACTTTTGTATCTGAACCTGTAGGAGAAAAAACAGTTCGTATATCTGGATCGTTCGGATAATAGAGGTTCACTGATTTCCCCCCCGTTACATTTCGATTTTTACGAAACTTGATAAAATTGTCAACGGAAACTTCCAAATGAACATATAGATAAAATGTTTTTTGGCGCATTTGAATATTAATTTAGTGTACTGGAAAAGCCTGCTACCACTTGGTATCGGTAATTACTATAATTTATGCCAAATGAACATTCGATTTAACAGTTATTTCAGTACCTACTTGAACGTGTATATGTAAAATATATTAATTTTCAAATGCGTCGAAAAACCTGTCACATATGTTCATCAGGGAGTATTTAAGATAATTTTACCAAGTTTTATTAAAATCGAAAGGTTAACCTTATCGAAACATAACCTCCACCATAATCTCGTTCTGTAAATGAAATTTCAAATGGTCCCTTTGCGGATCCAAGGATTATGATATTTTCGCGGTAAAAAGAAACGTGTTTTGAATGTGTACGAGAACAGCGGGGACGAGGGCAAGGATACAGGCGTGTGAATACAAAGGATCAAGAATCGGGATCCGAGGGGACACGGAGAACCTGTCGGGGAAGAGGGGAGAACCTCGAGTCCAGTTTTCAGACGTCGCCGTTTGCGGAGGAGCCTTGATACCGCGAGTCTACCACGGCGTGACGTCATCGTTCCCTGTACTCACGAGGTTATCGTTCAGAGTTGGCCTCGCGAGAACTCCAACCCGTTTCTTAGCATTTCTTACTGGTTTCGTTGACGAAACCTGGCCTCTGTCCCTTGGCGGCGATCCGCGTATAAATTTCCTCGAATAAAATCTGAGTATTACGACCACGCGTGGGATTGTTTCGTCGATTTAAATTTTCTGATAAGGTCTAATGAACTGACCCTCGAACGACAGTATATTTTCGTAACTGGAAATGTGGACTCATCCGTTCCGTAACCACCATTATCTTTATTACCCCCATTGCTTACGTGTTCTCCGTTGAACATACCTAAACCATGACCTATTCCAGGCCCTACTCCTGCCTCCGGAACCTTTCAAACTTCTTCGAACATTTCAAATTCCTGACACTTTGCTCCGTGAGAAGATTCCATACTATTTTCAAAATTAACTATTCTAGTTCTATTAACCAAATATGTATAAAATAAAATGCAATTTCTCGAAACGTCTGCCTATATCGTTAACATCGTGTGTGACCCGTTCAGTGCATCGATTTCAGATCACGAAAACGGCCATCGTCCGCGAGACCCGTGTCCACTCGAACACGGAACAGTCGCGGACGTGTCGTTTCCGTGGTGTTCCAGGTGCGTGCGTTATCATCCTCGACGAAAAATCACGGCACAGCGTTATTTGTTCGCGTATAAATTGTAAGTACACTACCGGCCAAAAGTATGGGACCAAGTCGGATAATTAAAGAAACAGAAAGTATTGTTCTACAAAGATTCGATAAAAGTATTGTGTTTCATCGACAATGAACTCTGGTCCCATATTTTTGGCGGGTAATGTACGCGAAAGAAATGTCCTCTTGTCCCACGGTCATTTTCATAACGTCAGCTGGCCAAATCCCAAGAACAGTCCCGATGATAAAACACGCTTAGATTGGTAAATCGCTATCCAGTTATCAAGGTTTTTTTTTCCCAACAACTCCAAGCACGTACACCAACGAGCAAAGGCTTCCACAAGGGAAAAAAATGAGGTTGGCGAAAGGCCTTCTACCAATTTTAATTTTGGGAGTTACTGAAATTTATGTCACATTAATGTAATATTTATTTCTGTACTTAAAACAAATTTGGTAAGTGCTGTGAGATTTTTCTTCTACCCCACTTTTGATGTTATATGGCACCAATGTGGAATCGTTAGTATACAAGGTGTATAGAAAAATGTGAAAACTTGGAGGAGATACGACACGACGACACGTAGTGGATATCCAGCGACATTGCCAAGTAAGAGTGAAAACAGCCTGTGGGGCGCCCTTCGTGGATTCGCAATTATACGGTTCGCATGTGACGCAAATGCCCTCCGTTTACCACGATCCAACCGGATACGAAACAGACTCCCGGGGGTTAAGAGGCATTAACTGAGTAACAGGACCACTAATGATTCATTAGTTACCAGGATCGCCGCTGTTCACCGTTCGTTGATCATTCCCGTGGACACCGACGAAGAGGCAACTTTAGCCTCCCTCCCCGTTTGACCCGAGTTCGGTTCAATAAACCTGTAGGATAACCGTACGAAACGAATATTAACACTTTATTAACGGGTAGCCTATTAATAGACTATTAACACTAGAACTACCAAAAACGACCTGAGTAATCATTTCTAGAAAGAAAGAAGACGAGGAGTGCTTTCGACGCTGAGAGAACAATGTACACATGTACACTGTGTCTCTGGTATTGTTCGACGATCAGAAGAAACGAGGTAAACGTTTCGTGAGAGAAAATCTCAGAGTACAGAGAATCGACAATAGAAAATTTGTTCTGTATATCGTGACAATGTAGATTGATTCGGTGTCGATTCTATCGACTGTCAAAAAATCGAAAGTAATACAGGGTATCAAGAGGAAAGAAAAGTTAGGTCACCTCGTGGACTCGATGGTGTACCACGAATTTCACCTGTCGGGAGAAGAATGTGGGCCGGAGGTTGCTCGGTAAGAGTAGACCAGTTTTTTAAAGCACTCAGAACTATATATATATATGTATACCAAAGGAGAGAACGGAAGATATCTCATTGTCAGATTGAAACTGGAACGTATACGATCGCTGGTTGGTCGATAAAGGGGAAAAAGTCGTCTATACGTTCTCCTATGTATACAGGGTGTCTCACTTGAGTGTGACCCCCGAAATATCTGTTTTAATTGTGAAAAATATTTATACGTAATACGCAGAAAATATTTTATACGTAATTTGAATTGTATTAAAATGTTGCTTTTTCCTCGAAGTTTTCTTTTCCAAATAACTATGCATTTTTTTTTCTATTGTATCGCGTAGCTCATGAAAAAATATATTCAGATATGTTCTATAATGTGACCTGCGAATGACCAGTAGTTATTTGCAAAAGAAACCATTTCTTAGTTATAATACTTACTATATAAGTCTATTTCTTTATATCTTTAATAGATAAGTATCGCCAGACCTATATACAGGTGACCTCTGTGTACCTCTATATAGGATTTTACTTTATATTACAATGTAAATTATACTCTAGAAAAATATATAAATATATAAATCTATACGCTCAAAAAAGATATTCAGGGGATCACGCTTAAACGAGCCACCCTGTATATTTCGCAGGATAATTTGTTCGTAACCGTTGAGAAAATATTCCCATCACCCGACCAATCAATTCCCGTTTCTTTTCGCCTCGGTATTTATTTTCATTTTCGAACGATTTCGCGAACATTAGACGTGTCGGTCGAAACCGATAAGTATTCGTTAATTTCCATCGTGGACCTACGGCCAGAGAGCCGAAGGGATCGTAAAACCGGTTTTAATTTCGCGCCGATTAATTTCAAAGTGTGCGTGGACGCGCGCGTACAGCTCCCTTGAGAGTGGCTGACTTCAGAGACGAACGATTATTCTTCCTGCAAGGATACCACCACTATACAGACACACATGGTCGTTGTGTAAGAGGAAAAAGAAAAGAAAACACGAAGAAGCCTCGACGAAGAGGAACGAAGAGTGAAGAGTAGGAGGTAGGCGAACCTCTGGGAAAGATGCATTCACACGGATCTCGTTTATGACGACCTCCTTCGCGTCCCTTCTGACTGAAACGTCGTGCTGTATGCATCCTTTATTCTCTGTGAAGAAAAAAAAAGGAAAAAAAAAACACGATCGAATTGTACTCGGAACGAGCAAAAGCTTCAAGGCTGTGACCACGTCATGTAGTAACATTTATCTGTATTATCTCCACAGACTTCTATATATCTACCAGACTGCTATACAAAAAGCATATACAAAAGATATGATAAATTTAGTTAAAAACATTTTTCATAAAACAGTTAAACAGTTTATATAGTTCTATTGATCTAGAATTATATTATTTTAACATACATTTTTTCATCATTTTATTCTCTTAAAAATAATTGTTCTTTATAATTATAGGTTAGATTAACTGTACAGAACAAGGCAGACTATAATCGAGAGAGGTCTGTATTATGAAGAATGTATTAACTATATCTAACACATTGCTTCTGTGCATATGCAGAATGAGATACTTTCTATATGGGTTTCGAGGCTATTTTATACAAGGAAACTAGCAGTCTAGTATAATATAGAAGTCTGTGATTATATCTCCCAAACAAGCTCTCCCTGGTTATGCCTTCTTGGTTCCATTGAGGAGACTCATAGTTCATTACTCGACACGCACGATACGGAACACGTTTCTGATAATTAAAAGCCGTTCCGGGAAAGGTTAACGATAAATTCGTATTTACCTTTCTTTTTTGCATCGGCCAACACGTGCAATTCCGAGAACAGGAGACGAACGATAGATCGATCATTCCTCTGTAGATATGGTACGCTGTGATCACTATACTGCGGATGTTTATACATTTTTAGCGTCCCTTAACATGGGATAAAGACACGCAAAAGGTTTAA